TGCAGACTATAACCAGGACTATTTTGTGAGTTTGTGATGGAAAAAGGAAACTGGTGGTGAAATGGTTAAAGTGACTGTCATCAAAACTGTGCATGTATATTGATTGGCAGGGCTAACAAAACAACAAATATTTACATATTTCATATCATGCTGTTTAAGAGACTTGCTGAAAGTCAGTTAATTATAAATTCAAAAAAATATGTATCATAGTTGTTCATAATTAAATGTTTTCTGTTGTTTTGAACTTTGTATAAAATTTACTTCATGTTTTAACATCATATTTTATTTATTTCCTCCTTCTTCTATTTTCCTTTTCCTTCTGAAGAAGGAGCAGGCTCCTCCCCTTTTACCAGTAACAGTTGTCGCTTCAACTCCAGTAACTTTTTCACTTCAGCTTCAATCTTCACCTTGTAAACTTTTACAGTTTTCAACATCCGTACTACACCACCCTGATGAGAAAACATATTCCCAGGGGGTTCACTCCATTAAAAAGAAAGCTGCAGGCATGCATGCTTAAAAACATTTATATTTTCAAATATATTTTCAATTCCACTGTAATTTAATTGTATGAACATATATATTGTACCATGCAATATGTTTTTTAAAATTAGCTACAGTACAGTTCTCGCAAAAGCTTTGGCTTCACTTCACCTTCACTTCAGCATCGCATCATTATGGCATTGTTATGGCTTCAGCATCGCATCAATGTCGCGACATTAAAAAGTTAGGCGGTTATCGCTTCACTTCATTGTGGCCTCATTATGGCGACAATGTGGCATCAGCATCGCTTCATCAAACAAAGAAGTACAGAACTCATTTCGCCCAACCAAATAATGATGTCATACTCATGTCACAATACTTTGAAGCTGATGCCATGTTGATGCCATGAGACTGCGAAGCTGAGGCCACGGTGATGCCACAAAATAAGCGAGGCGAACACAGCTTCATTTTTCAATGACGCGAAGCTGATGCCACAGTGATGCAATGCTGAGGCGACAATAAAGCTATGCGTAGGCGACAATGATGCCACAAAAGCCAAAGCTTTCACGAGAACTGTACTGTAGATCTTAAAACGAAGATTGTGAAATATTCCAAGGATGTAATTTCACATTCAATCAGAGATTTTTTTCAAGCTCAGATTTTTTATTATTAGATCAATTGAGAGAAATATGCACCAATCAGACAAAGTTTTCACTGAAAATTTTTAATATATATACCAAAAAAACATGCCAGAATTCAATTGGAAAATTATCAAACTATCAAAACCTGGATAGGGAACTGAACCCTTCATGAAATAATGCTATGCAGCCAAATTCAATAATAAAGGCTAGTGCCATGGAAATAAAATATATAAACAAATTAAACAAAATATTGCAAAATGTTGCAGCAGATGACTTGAAATAAGATCGTTTGCTAAGCTTGGAGCGAACATTGTGTCCCAGGGATAGAAAACATGTCATGGTGTAATAGGTATCATCCAATCAATGGCTAATAATACCTATAATTGTGATTGGTTACTAGAATATTCCTGTGTCACATGATCTATATCAATCAATGTGATTGGTTCTTCCATTGTCATATGACCTACCTGATCAGTGACTTGAGCTGTCAGTTCTTCCACAGTTTCCCATCATTCATAGCAGTTTTCTGTGCATTATCACTTTTGATTGGCTTTATGGTAGATGGTTTCTGGGATTGACCACTGCCAGCAAACTGCTTCTTTAGTTCTTCCACCCTTGATGGTTCTATTTTATCAAACAGTGGTTTAGGCTGAAAATAGTAACAACTTTTTAGTTATTCCAGTGTTTTGAATGTGTTTATGGAATGTTCTACACATGTTCTGAAAGTGCATCTGGAATGTTCTTAATCCAGCCTTGGAAGTTGCGAGTGCCTACTCACAGGTGTGCCAAAAAATACGTCTATGCGAGTAAAAACTTGTAAATATCAACATTTAGTTTGTAGTTTTCTGAAACTACTCGCATTTTGCAAGTGAAAATTGAAGCCCTACATGCAGCTGAAACATGCCAAGTACGAGTCAGACTAGACGAAATACCGTGCACGATCTGGAGGCTTTGAATATTTTACTATGTAATTGACTATGTACACGGAATGTCTAGTTTCACGCACATGACAAGTGTCATGTTGCAATTGAGAGCGTACAAGTCAAAATAAAGAAATACTAACATTGTAAATATGTGATTGACAGTTGTTTTGTGCTACTCAAAATATGTGCAGGGTTTTTAAATGAACACTGGTTTACACTGTCGGAGGCTCTTTGATTGTCAACAAAATAATGTTTATTGACTATTAGTAAACATGACAGCGTTTTTCAGTGTCAAATCATGTTATAAACTTTGATAATCAAAGTCACACTGTCACATTCTTGACTCGAACAAACATGGTGAATAACCAGATTCCTAATTTCTTTTGGTCGAAAAGTCAGATTTTCCATCAACTTTGCTGGTAAAATGTTAAAAATCAAAGAAAAACATAGTGAAACTTTGGCGAATCAAAAAAATAACTTGATGTGCACTTGTAACACCATCAATTCCTGTCTCTGTACCAACTCTGAACTGAATTGGATCACACATGTGTGAGAAAAAGCTGGTAACGTGTAACATGCACACAAGGATGCACAAACACAACCCAAGTTATAAGCCCCTGCTGGATTCCAGATCCGACGGGGGCTAAATATTGAGATCATTATTTAAGAGGTAATGACCCCAGAATATTCACTAAATGATTGACTATTGATTGAAGGAAGTATTGAAATGGTATTGACCTACTTAATTACTTAACGATTGACTACTATGTTTACATGGTTTGATGACATCATTAAATTGATATTAAAATTATGTAGCTATTAAATGATTGTCTACTAATTGAGGGCATTATTGAAATGATATTGACCTACCTGTGGCCACTAAAAGATTTACTATTGTATAATTAACTTCAACACCCAATTGTCTGCTTGGAAATATAACACTGTGAAATGGTACATTGTCTTTAGCTA